CATCTGATCTCTGTTGTCTTGGCATACTTCTCTTGATGTTGATCTTATACTTCCATCAAACAATATGGATGCAGCCCATGGTTGTCGTAGAAGTGCCTTAAAATGAAAATCTGGCCAATTGCAAGATGCGAGGAGACCTTGACGATGAAGTAGGGTTAATCCCGCTGATGTTGATACTAAATGATCAGACATAAATTCCTGATCCTTCTTTTGTGTAACCAAGGCTGATAATATCATCCTTTCTGTTTTCGGATTCTTGAAGTTGTTGATTAGAGTTTCATTTATGGCTCTAGATCTGGCTAATCCGAAGAAAATACGTCTTGTTGTCGTATCTGAGTTGGCCAACTTCCTGTCTTCTACTTTGTAAGTGTGTGATTTGGATTCATTGATGAGATAATAATCATCATCAATCTCTGGTCCTCTGAAAAATGGTTCCATACTATGCAGTGGAAATTTCCTCGCATTAAATGATGGTGTGCGTTGACCTTGATGTCTCATAGCATTCGTGAATGCTAACTTGAGGTTCGATGAAACCTGTGATACAGGTTTAATAGGTGGTACAGTTAAAGTCTCAAGATCCTCATCTACAAAAAGATAAGTCTCTGCTGAATTCTCGTTGTGCGTTGGTGAAGCAATTGGTAACCCATCTGTTATCCAAGATAATACCTCCGCATCTGGATAAATTGTAGATTCCTTGGGTTCTGGAAAACTCGTTTCCGAGGTGGGTGTCTCCTCGTGAATGTTATCATTCATTGATGTACCATGCATAATTGTCTGTTGATTATCTGATGATGATCGTTGTTGCATAGCCAAGACTACTTGGCGTGTAATACTGGCTACAAAATCTTGATCTACTGGTAGATTTGTTCAGCCTGACGGGTTCGCGAAAGGTTGATTTGTATCTCTCTGTTGATGAAATGAAACTCTCTGTTGTTGAGGGTTCGCGAACCCACCGTCAGATGAAAAATCTCTTTCTGTCTGTAGCGCAACAGTTGCTTAGTTTGAAGAGCCTTTCACAAACTTTATAGAGGTTGAATGATCAGTAGATGTTGTCGAAGTATGAGACGTATGTGACAATCTATGTTGATTGTCTGTAGAAGGGTTCGCGAACCCTGATGTAGTAGTGGAAGGGTTCACGAGCCCTGATGTGGTAGTAGTTGATCTATGCTGGGACGAATGTTTCTTTCTCGACGATGACGATTTTGATGAATGTTGTTGCGAACCTGAGCTCGCTAACTCTCTAGGTGTACTAGTAGATGTAGTCTGAGATGTAGTCAAGATGATCTGCGGTTCTAAAACCGGTGGTGATCTATCAAGTCTAGATATGGCATTCTCAAATGTCATAGGCGTATCTGATGATCTAGTAGATATAGACGACATAGATCTTGTTGATGTAGATTTTGCAGACAATCTAGACGATCGTTTCTTTCTCACTAGATGTTGTAGTTCAGTCTCCTATATCTGAGGTGACTTTCTCTTGGAGGTAGACTGTGTAGCTGTTTCTGAAAGCGTGACACAAACGGGAGAAATTCCTGGGAAATTTTTCATATTGTGTTGTGACATATTACTATACATTATATGAGAGCAACCCCTTACCGCTGACTTGTTGACATGATGCTGTTTATCTATTGTCCTGTGTAAGCAGGCTGATAAATATTTAGCAAACAATTGTGGTGATAAATTAATACAATATTGACGTCGTAATACAAAAGAACATGCACAAGAGGAGCAAACAAGACATGGATCAAACGCAGATAGTCTCAATCCGCATTGTTGACATGCCACCATTGAACAACACACACCTGCAACGGAGTGAAAACAATTACATTTACATATTATACATATAGAAGCATCTAATATGAATCTAAATACAATCTGCGGCCACAAATTTATAATATAAGGCCGAAATGAAAGGATATCTGCCGCAAATAGGACCCGTAAGGATCGCGAGGCAAAGAAGGAGACAGTGATAAGAGCTGGACCGGTTTTGGCGGGAACAAGGGAGGTAACTCAGGATGAGTGATTGTATGAGCGCTTCAGTGAATTTGAATAGGATTCAACTGTCGAAGGAGAAGGGAGATAAGCAATAATCATGAGTCAGGATAAGGAAACATTATTCAGGATACAGTACAGAAAATGTAGCAGATACGCACCACAGCAATGGCGTATGGTCTTAGAATCATTTACAGACGTATTTATCTGAAACAGTATTTTTTAATTGTTTCTTGACCTGTTTACACAAGAGTAGCAATGTTGTGGTGCATATATGAAACGAAAAACAAGATTACTGATACGACATTAAATTCCATTCAGTACTCTAAATGTACTCTTAAGTTTTTCCAGTACTCCTATATTGAAAACATAAGGAGTATGTACTCCTGATGTTGAAAAATTATCTGGAGCCCTACTTTAGAAAATACATATGGTTCTTTATCCTGACTCACACTAATTGCTTGAATCCATCGATAGATTGTGGGCAGAAGAAAGAAATCATAAAGACTTTCATAGAACATAATTCTTGCTTGTCTTAAGACGATCCGTATGTTAAGAATAGGCCATAAAACTTTAACTGAATTGTACCTTCATGCTCTGAATTACGTAGTAAAACGGGGGGCATGGACTCTCAGTTACGGAACAGTAAGCTGACTTCCATGAGTCTTCGTGATTCTTGGTGAAGATTATATTCTTCAACTGTTGAGCTACAACCAAAGGACCAATTTCGCCAAACCCGTAGGGGTTTCCAAATCTTTAAAGAAAGTCTTCCTTGGGGTACATATATGTATTTTCTGTGACTGAAAATGTCCTATGACAGTTGTAACAATGTTTTAATAAAATATTGTACAAAATAAATAGAACATGTTTTTTATTTGTTATATGGTTCCACGCATGCGCGGGTTGCCAGGTGCATCCCTGCCCCCATACCTCATTCCTTCTGCTGAGGATAAACACCAGTGGCCGTATGCAGATGTCGGGTGTAGCTAACGTCACACACTCTGTCGGGCTTAGCAGCGCCTTGTTCTTACACGTCATGCACAACGTCAGTTAAGCCAAGGCGTTACTATGCCCAACTTGACGGATTGACGTCCAGGCGCAGTGTTCTATATTTATATTTTGAACGTTTTAACCACCGGGAAAAGGCGTGAACACATCTTACTACAACAGGAAACCCTGCCATGTTGTAAAAACTGTCTTTCAGTCCTACCAGTTCGTTTTGGTCGGGAAAGTAGGTCCACTTATTCATTCACCCCTGAAGAGACAATGAAACTCTGCGAATTGTTCGACTAACCATCAGGGGCGTGGCTACTATTATAGAAAAAAGCCCGGGCTTACACATGATTGTTGCTAAAAAGGTTGAGCAAGACCTCAATACTACCTAAATGTAAAGCTTTGCAACCTATCAGTGTTACATGAAAAAAATGGCTTGCTATGCGCCTGACCGTAGATTGATGAACATTGATAGTATCCCCAACTACATTTTTTTTAAATGAACCTGTAGCATAAAACCGTAAGGCTACAAGTACTTGCATTTTCGGGGAAAGGGTGGAATTGCGGTACGAGACATAATCATTATCACTTATGATTGTATCAACTATCTTGAAATTTTCAATTCTCCTGAATCTTACAGACCAAGGTCGTCGATATTTCTAAAGGTTTTGACCTTTCTCTAAATATACGGTTTCTGAAGAACTATCGTTTGCGATATCGGTGTATGACTGCCGCCATTACAGGGCTACGGCCTGGCTTACGCCTGCTGGGTAGGTGGCATTAATATGGAGCGCTCTACCTGGCATAACTTTAGCTACGTCTAAGGTATGCAAACCAGTTTAACGTTACACCCAGGCGCACATTTTACTTACTTCAGGACTAGAATTTACGCCCGACATATGAATATGGCCACAAGGAACAGAATCTCGGGTAAAGGGTGAGTAGTAATAGTAGGAGTCAGGATAAGTAAAAATATACAATTGGTAGAGTCTGTGAAGCCCGCTGAGCAAGGCAGCTAACCCAAGATGTCAATAAAACTGGTAACTGATGGTGAGAGATCTTATGACACCACCATGCAATACCAATTGACCACTGGTGTTCATTTCCCCAGGAACTGATGATCTCTGGTCTCACTCTACAGTAAGACAACACAAGTAAACCATCTCTGACTGTCCCCATTCAGGCCTCTTGGCTGCCTGATGAGAATGGATTATCTGCACAAAATCACTGAAGGAATTTTGGGGGCGGTTTTATCACTAGTTATTGTACACATGTCAGAAATGTAACACAGGCCTTTGATGTGATGAACATGAAAAATGACGGCTTCTGTAACTTTGTTGGAACTCTAAGGGCTTTTGTTCTGAATAAACTACTTTATTTGATGTCTGTTCTGAGCCATTTTCAAAGCAAATATATCTTGGATATGTGTGAGATATGCTGTTAATTAAGATCACAGAGAATGGGTCACACAGAGGACAACTTTGTACCCCTGCAATCTTGTGAACACTAAACAAGATGATGCCATTCTTCCAACAACATTTCACTACCTTACTCAATCAAAAGTAATAACCCATGTGTTATTAGGAAATACTAAATCAACAATACAAATCATGAAAGTGTGGAAGAAATACAATGTGTTTTTCAAATGTTTATTCTTACATTCTGTCTGTGCAAGAGTAAGAGCACAGGGCAAGAGGAGAGTATTACCCAAAAGACTGATAATGGACATCTGACAGTGTCGAGGACTTCATTAAAGTCCTCCAAAGATGTGTTATAGAGTGATTACAGCCACATTATATGATTATTGGCAGTGATGCAGGAGAGGGTAGGTATTTACAGGACTCATGCATGCTGCGATATGCCTCAGATATCAAAGGATCACAGTTTTCAGATACTGTGTGTAACTGTGGTATTTAGATTCTAACAAAACCTTAAAGCATTCCAAGTTACATCGGCGATCTAATTACAACTGGTGTGATGTTAATGTCTTGGATACAGCTTACAGAATGCCTCACCTTCTGGAGTCTACAATCAAATCTGAAGATATTGTGAACCAAACATGTTTTTTTCTGCCGCGCACAAAGTTGTCCATGATGACACCAGCTATCTGTGGAAAGCAAAACAGAAAATATTAAGTATCAAGCATATTTCTCACTTAAACACAAATGATGAAATTTACGGGAATCTGACAATACTTGACACCAACGGCAATTTACAGTTTGATTTATATGTTCAATATCCATGATGAATATTAGTAGAAAATTGATAATTTTTAACTATAAATTGTATATTTATAATAGTTATCCTATCTCACATTATGCTAGTGGAAACAACCAGGAATAAAGTTTTCAGCCTCTTTAAACACCTCACACATGCAACGCATACAGGCATGTTCTGGTTGATCATGTGACTTCAAGCTATTTTCATTCTCTGTCTTTGTTTATTTATTCTACGCATTTACACGGTTTTGAATGACAGGGTATTTAGGAGAATAAAGCATGGCAATTTGACCAAATCTTATTGAAGTAGTCTCTATTACAGTTAATGACAGAGGAATACTTTGTTAACTTATAAAATTCAGTGAGCTCCTTCTGTATGAACTGGAATGTTGGTGGGTAGTTGTTCTTTCTAAAGTTGAAAATGATTTGCTTTGACAGGATAATTACAAGGTTTAAGGGATTGTTATTTTTTTGATAGATAGCCAAAAAAGAACATTTTCTTTGGATATTGTTACCGGGCTTTGCATTTTGTGCGATATCCAACTTTCAAGTTCTCTCCAGTTGGAACTCACTTTGTTGCATTCCCAGAACATATGTATGACATCTTCCATTTCTTTAGAGCAGTAACAGCATTTTGTACTGACCACGTAACCCATCTTAGTGAGAAGACAGTTGGTTGGCAAGATATGATGTAAGATTTGATATTGGAACCACTGTAGTTCAGTCACGTTAGTGTAACTAAACGGGATAGAATTGATACTCTTCCTATCTTGTTCGTTAATATCATGTCCAAGGATGTACACTCATTTAGCGAAGTGATTATTTCTCTCGCATATTTTTTTAATAAGTATTTTGTAGTAATACTGTGAACCTTTTTTTTGATTGTTCAGATGGGATATATGAAATGGTAAAATGGGAGATTGTAGGAAAGCTTTAGCTTTGGTAATTGTTGGCTTCTACAGAATTGTTTAATAGCTTGAACAACACCTGTGTAGATTAGAAAGTTATTTTCATGTTGAAAACAGATAGGAAGGTTTTGAATGACATGAATTGTCCTTTATTATCTACAAGATCGTTGATGAATCGTACCCCATTTACAAACCAATCATTATAAAATATGCTGGTATTTCCTATCTTTATGTTCTCGTTACACCATATATATTGTGCTAAAATGCCCTTATCATTTATGCTCTCAACATGGATGTTATCTATAAAGTTCCATCAGGCCTTGATAAGGTCTTTTTTAGTATGTATTTCGCAACCTAGTAATCATTTGTAGTCTTAGTTTTTTACAAGTAATTTCAGAAGCATTGTAAGGACCAGAGCGAGGTATATTCATGGTTGCATTTGGGAAGAATAAGTGATTTAAGTATGGTGTTTCTCCCAAGAAGTGTCATTTTTCTTGAAACCCAAGTACACATAATAGTTTCACATTTTCTAAATGTATTGTCGTAGTTCAAGTCAATCATTTCGTCGAGATAAGTACTGAATTGTATTCCAAGTAGATCGAATGGATCTTGTCTCCAATCCAGGTTCCATTCTTGGCATAGTTTGATTCTAGAACGTTTTTTCGATCCTATCCAGAGTATCCTTGTTTTATCTATGTGTACTTTTAACTCAGAAAATCTAGCATAGAAACTAAGAACTTGTAGTAAAGGCAGAGGCATTGTTCTGAAGGGTCTAGAGAACAAGTTGTGTCATCTGCAAAGTGTGAAAGTAAATATTCAATACTACCAATCTTAATACCTATTATGCTATTATTGTTTGTTACCATTATTGCAAGTATTTCAGCACATAGTATAAAGATGTAGGGAGATAGGGGATCACCTTGTCTACAACCCTTAAATATTTTGAAATGGGGGATCCAAAGCCATCAACAATTGCACATGATTGAATTTCGTTGTAAAAGGTTTTTATCCATCTTCTTAGTGAAGTACCAAAGCCAAAACAGTTCTCTGTCTTGGTCGTGGAACCATCTCAGTAATTTGCATAGCGGGGTTGGTCAGCAGGAATCCATTGTGAGAAAGTGTAAGTATTTATATATAACTCATAGTGAAAATTTAAAAAACTTATCCTATCTCACATTATACACTTACAATTGATCGGATGGTGGGCTGTAAATTACCTTAGTCTGTAGGGAGACAACAACCAGGTTTATCATAGTTCACAAAGAAGCAGGCCTTGACATCACAGACCTTGACCATTGTTAGTTAGTTCACTCAACCAAACACTCAAAGAATGTGAGAAAGGATGGCACTTGGTCATTGAAGGCAAGGAACACAGAAGAGGAAAGCTTTGAATCATGATCTTAAGCAGTATGATTCTGAAATCATAGTCTGCGAGGTGAACTTGGGTTTAACGTCGAACTTAAGAATATTTCGCTCATATGACGACGTGCATGCATGTGTATGTGCATGTGCAGCTGCTTGTACTAGCCCAATCTAAGCTGGTTTTATAGTGCTAGCCCACTGAGATACCATGCCGCAGTGAAGCATGAATACCCCACTCAGACACATTATACTGACTCTGTGCCGACTCGTCCTTGTCGCACCCATTAATGCCGAGCGCCAGGCAGCAACCAACAAGTACCATATTTTAACATCTTTTGGTATGACACGGTCGGGGATCAAACCCGCGACCTTCCGCTCTCCCGGGCGGACGCTCTAACCACGGAGGCGGTTTGAAATCATAGTCCTCTAACAAGATTGCTTGTGAGAGTAGATGTTTGTAAGTATGTGTGAATCTCCTCTACATCATTGTACTAAGCTTGCCTCTTGAGACGTCCATGATATCCAGCATGTGACCAACTTCAACACCCCAGTAGAAAACTGAATGAAGATGATCCTTGTGATGAGTATGACGCATAACATGTACATTCAAAATTAACATGGTTTATTCTTGGATGTAAAAGAAGCATGGATCCCACAACTCTTCAGGTCGAGCTTCCTATCTATATTGACATACCATGGACAATTGCTGCTCTAGGATGGACAGTACAAAGATGTTGAGGTAAAGAGAAGTGAAGCCTTTGAAATCCCAAAGTATCAAACTTTTATTCTGCATAAAGGCCATAGGCCCAAGAACAAAAACTCACAAAATAATAATGATAGTGACAAAATGGTTAGCTACACCTTTTAAGCACTTCTTAACCTTAAAGCTTCTTTTACAAATTTTGCTAAGTTAATTAGGATATTCACTTTATCACAACTTATTAAATTTATAAATAGAAGGATGTTTCCAGACATTTTCAGGAATACCCGTTTGTCTTAAAATGGAATAAACTTTACATATTAACAGAAAATGGCATCCAAACAAATCCAAAACCATAAGAGAAAAGTAACATTTTAACCTTTGAAGCCCATGTTAAGCGATTACAGTAATCTAAAGATTTACAAAGAAGATAGCTTTGCTTAGGATATTTATGATTAGGCATTGTTAGCAACTTTAACCAATACTGAATACTTTTTATGACAATCAACAAATTCACCAAGCGCAGCCAAATTAGAGACATAACTAACTACACCAATAACATATTTACAAAGCTTAACATGAAAACGCTCGATGCATTCAATTTTTGAATGACCCCACACTTCACTAGAATAGAGTAAGATTAGGTTAATTTGAGCATCAAATATCTTGAATAAAACTAAAGAAGAAATATTCTGAAACTTACATTGTAATTGTTTAACGGAAACTAGGGCTTTTGATGCTTTTATAACAAGATATATCAAAATACCCTTTGACCAACATAACCTGTTAGAAAACGTTATCCCAAGATAATTATAATAGGTCGATGTCTTAATAATTTTATTGCCAAACATCCATTTTTCAGAAAACCTTAACTTGCCACCATTTCTAAAAACTAAAATTTCAGTCTTATCTAAATTGACATCCAAACACCACATTAGATATTAAACTGCTCCAATACATCTATATTTCTCTTTAGACCAATCACACTATCATAAAAAAAACACACAGATCATCAGCATAAAATAAAGATAAAATATCACGAAACTCTTGACTGACTGACTGAGTTTAGTTTTACGCCGCTTTTAGCAATATTCCAGCAATATCACGGCGGGGGACACCAGAAATGGGCTTAACACATTGTGCCCATGTGGGGAATAGAACCCGGGTCTTCGGCGTGACGAGCCAACGCTTTAACCACTAGGCTACCCCACCGCCCCTCGAAACTCTTGACCAACAAATGTACCTCGGACATTCAATTCCTGTAACATAGTTTCCAACTCAACAACAAAAAGAGAGAATAGCAAAGGGCTCAAAGTACACCCCTGTTTTACGCCACTTAAAGTATCAAAATAATGAGATATGGAACTATTTGACAGTTTAACAGCAGATTTAACTTTAGAGTACATGTCCAATAATACTGTAAATATTTTACCATGAATACCTTTATTTAAAACTGAGAACCACAACAACTTACGATTAATGGAATCAAATGCTTTTCTGAAATCAACAAATAAACAATAAATACGACCATTAGTTTTCGAGAGATACTTTTGGACCAGACACTGTAAACTGAAAATATAATCAAAAGTGCTATATCCAGCACGGAATCCAGCCGGAGACTCAGGAATCTTGTCATATTGATGATAAAAACTTGTCCACCTCTTGTTTAATATAAACGTAAATAATTTCCCCATGACATCACGCCTCTATAATTATTAACCTCTGTCTTCTCGCCTTTCTTGTGAAGCAGTAAAACGAGTCCTTTAGCCCATTCTATAGGGAAATTGCCACTGTTCAAAATATTATCAAACAATACATGAAGAAATTGTAATAGTTCAGTTTTACAACATTTTATCATTTCTGGAGTTACTGCATCAGGACCAGAAGCTTTACCGTTCTTCAGATTGTCAATGGCATC